GAAAAACACATTACCCACTAAGGCAAAAATCAAGAGGCAAAAAAAAAAAAAAAAAAAAAAAATCAACGGAAGACGCCGCCCTAAACCAAGTCTCATCTCGCGACAATGCAAGTACAGTGAACGCTGCCTATAACGGCCCACAAAGACGTACAACAGCCCCAGTCTGTCTATTGTGCTACACTCACTTTTTTCCCTCTCTCTCTCTCTTTCTCTTTTCTCCGATACTGTCCATTCCTTTCAGGTAGGCCTAACAAAGAACGGGAGGGAGGGAGAGAGGGATATGGGAGGCAACAGGGAGATGGGAGGAAAGAGGGAGAGAGGGAGAGAGGGAAGAGGGAAGGAGGGAAGGAGGGAAGGAGGGAAGGAGGGAGAGGGGATGGTAGTTTGGGTCGGAGGGTGAAAGGGGAAACGAAGCCAGAGGGGGAAGAGGAAAAGATGGGAAGAAATGGAGTGACAAGAAAGAAGGCAATGAGAGGAAGAGGAGGGAAGGAGAGACGAGAAGAATGGGTTAAGATGGATAAGAGAGAGCAAGAAAAGAGTGCGGGAAGGAATAGAATACAAAAAAAAGAAAAAAAAATTCTGCCGAGATAACCCCCAACTACAAATCCATACATATGTTATGGGAAAGAAAGACCAAACTCATAACTGGACGTGAAATGATATTAGATTGGCGAAGGGGGGGGGGGAGAGAGAGAGAGGAGAGAGAGAGAGAGAGAGAGAGAGAGAGAGAGAGAGAGAGAGAGAGAGAGAGAGAGAGAGAGAGAGAGAGAGAGAGAGAGGAGAGGGGGAGAGAGGAGGAGAGGAGAGAGGAGAGAGAGAGAGAGAGAGAGAGAGGAGAGAGAAGAGAGAGAGAGAGAGAGAGATGAGAGAGAGAGGAGAGAGAGGAGAGATTGAGGGGGGGGGGGGTAGGTGAAATAGTATAATAAACATAAATAAGTCGGCAAATCAATAAATACCATTTGCCATTCATGAATAAAAGATGAAAAGCTGATGTTGTTATTACTTCCCACAATATAATGAACTCAACCTTAACAATCTAATATCCACAAGGAAATAAGGGAGAGGGGGCTGGTTATGGGAGCCGGAGAGAGGAAGACGGAAGGGAGGCGAAGGGGAAAGGGAGAAGGAAGGAGGAAAATGGAAGAGGAGGAGGAGTAAAAGAAAAAAACATGAAAATAAAATAAAACAGAGATAGAGAGAGAGAAAATGAGAAGAAAAAGAATGAGAAAGAAAGAAAGAATAGAAAGAAGAAAAGAATGAGAAAGAGAGAGAAAGAATGAGAAAGAGACAGAGAGAATGAGAAAGAGACAGAGAATGAGAAAGAGACAGAGGGAATGAGAAAGAAAGAGAGAAAGAGAGAGGAGAGGGGGGGAGAGAGGGAGAGAGAGAGAGAGAGAGAGAGAGAGAGAGAAGAGAGAGAGAGAGAGACGAGAGAGAGAGAGAGAGAGAGAGAGAGAGAGAGAGAGAGAGAGAGAGAGAGAGAGAGAGAGAGAGATGAGAGATAAGAGAGAGAAAAGAGAGAGAGAGAGAGAGAAAGAGAGATAGAGAGAAAGAGAGAAGAGAGATAGAGATAGATGAGGAAGAGAGAGATAGAGAGATAGAGAGAGAAGATGAGTAGAGAGGAGAGAGAGAGAGAGAGAGAGAGAAGAGAGAGAGAGAGAGAGAGAGAGAGAGAGAGAGAGAAGGAGAGAGAGAGAGAGAGAGAGAAGAGAGAGAGAAAGAGGAGAAAGAAGAGCGAGAGAGAGAAAGAGAGATAGAGAGAAAGGAGAGATAGAGAGAAAGAGAGAAGAGAGAAAGAGAGAAGAGAGATAGAGAGATAGATAGAAATAGGAGAGAAGATAGAGAGAGAGAGAGAGAGAGAGAGAGAGAGAGAGAGAGAGAGAGAGAGAGAGAGAGAAATATGAGACATGAGAAAGAAAAAGAATGAGAAAGAATGAGAAAGAGAGAGAAAGAATGAGAAAGATGACAGAGAGAAGAGATAAGAGACAGAGAATGAAGAAAGAGTACAGAGGGAATGAGAATAGAAAGAGATGAAAGAGGAGAGTGGCAGAGGGGGGCGGAGAGAGGTGAGAGAGAGAAGAGAGAGAGAGAGAGAGAGAGAGAGAGAGAGAGAGAGAGAGAGAGAGATGAGAGGAGAGAGAGTTATTAGATGAGTAGAGAGAGAGAGAGAAAGAGAGAGAAACGTAAGAGAGTAGATGAGAGAGAAAAGAGAGATAAGAGAGTAAGAGAGAATAGATGTAGATAAGAGACGATAAGAGAATGATTAGGAGTGATTAGATAAGATAGATTAGATGAGAGAGATGATGAGATTTTGAGATGAGAGAGTAGAGGAGAGATGGAAGAGAGAGCTAAGAGATGAGAGAGAGAGAGATGAGAGAGAGAGAGAGAAGAGGATGATAGAGAGAGAGATGAGAGAGAGATGAGAGAGTGGAGAGGAGAGAGAGAGAGGAGTTAGATGATGATGTAGAGTATGTATGGAGTTTTAGACGTAGAGAAGAGG